GACATGATAGAGGTTTACAAGATTATGCATGGGATAGAGCGGTAAGAGAAAGAAGTACTTTTCTCCCTTTCTCACAATACAAGAACTCGTGGGCACTCAATGAAATTGCTGAGCAGTCAGATTAGAATGGATAAAAGGAAGTACTTCTTTACCCAAAGAGTGATTAACACATGGTATTCACTGCCACAGGAGGTGGCGGCAGCTACAAGCATGGACAGCTTCAAGAGGAAATTAGTTAAACATATGGAACAGAGGTCCATCAGTGGCTATTAGCCATAAGGTATAGATAGGAACTCTCAGTCTGGGGCAAGTGATGCTCTGTATTCTTGGTGCTTGGGGGAGGCAACAGTGGGAGGGCTTCTAGTGTTCTGGCCCCACTGGTGGACCTCCTGATGGCACATGGGTTTTTTTGGCCACTGTATAACAAGAGTGTTGGACTGGATGGGCCATTGGCCTGATCCAATATTGGCTTCTCTTATGTTCTTATACCAGTAAGCTCAGTGACAGATCAGCTTTGCATTGCTTGCCATGACAAGGAGGTATGTCAGCCCACAATCTTGCCTTATTCTTCATGTACCAGGTAGGATATATGCCACTACAGAAACCATAAAGTGGGCTTGCATGGTTTTTATGGTTGGCGTAGACATGTTGGCCTTGTACCTATATTCTTATTATGTACATCTTTTTCTTTAAGAAAACAAAAGTGGTGCGTGCTTATACATAACCTACTTTCATCCTTGTGAAACAAAACAAAGCTCACATTTGAAAAGACCAATGCAAAACTGTCTGGCAGAGGCATGTAATGGCATGGGCGATAGGCAATAAACAGCCATGACAGCAGGCTTTGGCCCATTAAACTGGACTATGCTGAAAACTTTCACAGTCAGGTTTTTTATAGGTCACCCCAGGGTCGAAACAGGCAAATGTATTTGGCAAGCACCAATAGCATTATCAAACTACCTCTGCCACTCTTAACATGTTATGTCTGTTTCCATCTTCAGAACTGTTTCTAAAGCAAATGTCTAGTTGTTGCAGCAGCAGAGGCAGCTGCAAACACCTTGGGGCTTTTTGAAGTGAAGGTATTCCAGAGGTCCCTCTTAGGTCTTCGACATCTCCTTACCTTAATGCCCAATCTTTGCAACCGGTCCTGGTTCTCCCTCCCTGCACTAGTTCTTGCACACACAAAAATTCCATAACCTGCCAAAATCATGGGCACATGTTATTCAGTGCTCAGAAATGTTTTATTTGCAGTGTAGAGGACACACAATCCTATAGAAAAAAAACCTTGCTGGCCTTGTTTATCCTTAAATGCTGCAGCACATGTCATTTTATCAGCAACATCTGCCAGATCCCATCTGGCCGCTATTCCCTTCTGAATGAGCTCGGCTGATCAGGGAGGAATTAGTTGGATGCGTCAGAGGTAGGTGACTGGAGGATACCAAGAGTTGTGAGTAGGTTACCTATCTGCTTGTTTTTTTTTAGAAGATGTACAAATTCCACTGACATATGTTGAAGCTATAATGGATAGCTGAGAATACATGACATGCGTATTCCATCTATATTACAAATACAATACCTTTATTGGCATAAGAGATAAAATACAACATGCAGCATAGGCTGGAGAAAGAGGGGGGGGGGGGGGGTAGCACATTCCGAATTGCCTTGATATAGGCCTCTCCTCCTGGATACCTCATAAAAGAAATTTGCTATAGTTTCAAGAATTTCTATATTATGAGAAGACAATAAAGAAATAATTTAATACTCATCAGATTGGCCCAAAAGGGGGTCCATCAGAGGTTCAATATAAGCAACACGGATGTCATAGTGGAATTTACAGTACAGGAGCACATGTCGAATAGATTCAATTTCCCCCATCCCACATGGGCACAATCTATCTTTTTAGGGAATTTTCTTGAACCTTCCTGATAAAACAGCTGAGGGAAGGACGTCGAACTGAGCTAGCATGAAGATGGGGCTGAATCAGTCTTGCCAGATATCCTGAGGAAGAGAGATATACTCAAGGGATATACTCAAGGGAGAGCAATGTCTGTGCGCAAGTCTTCGAAGATCTTGAACCTCTATATCAAGGAGTCTTTGAGTAAGGAAAAAGCCTTCTGCTCAGACAGAACCACCAAATCATCAAAACTAAAGCCAATTATAGAATTTTTTCCTCTATATTAGTCAACCAAGTTGATAGATGTGATTCTGTTAGTATGTGTATCCATCTATGTTAAATCTAATGAATCACAGTTCTAAATCTTTCACCAAAAACTTATGCACAAAAAGTAATCCTGACCAAATCCAGTCCTGAGAAGTTCACACGTCACAAGGTATTCAGAGCTTATACAGAGAGTGTGTGTGTGTTGGGAAAAAAATGCTTTTGCAACACTTTCTATTTCATGTTCCTCTGGGCATATAAGCAATACGTTTGCAAACTGTGAAGGCTTAGTAAAGGTAAAGGTTCCCTTGCTCGAAAGCCAGTCGAATCCGACTCTAGGGTTGCGGTGCTCATCTCCGTTTCAAAGCCGAAGAGGCAGCGCTGTCCGAAGACGTTTCCGTGGTCATGTGGCTGGACTGACTAAACACCAAGGCGCACGGAACGCTGTTACCTTCCCACCGAAGTGGTACCTATTTATCTACTTGCAATTTCTTGCTTTCGAACTGCTAGGTTGGCAGGAGCTGGAACTAGAGACAGGAGCTCACCCCGTCTTGCGGCACCCGGGTCTTGAACTGCTGAACTACTGCCCTTCCACAGCCTGCAGTACAGCGTCTTAACCACTTGAGCTTAGTACAGGTTGCCAATTACAGTGCCCATGTTCTCTTTGCTGGGTTTTATGCTGGCAGACAAGCATTAATAAGAAGTTACTCTCATTATTATCAGAAATGGTGCCAGCTGAATAAGAGAAGAAAAGAAGAGATTGGATTTATACCCCGCCCTTCACTACCCAAAGGAGTCTCAGAGCAGTTTACAATCTCCTTTCCCTTCCCCTTTCCACAACAGACACTCTGTGAGGTAGGTGGGGCTGAGAGAGCTTTGACATAAACTGCTCTTTTTCAAGAACAGCTGTGCCAGAACTATGGCTTGCCCAAGGTCATCCAGCAGGTGGAAGTGGAGGAGTGGGGAATCAAACCCGGTTCTCCCAGATTAGAGTCTGCGCACTTAACCACTACACCAAACTCGCTCTCAAGGGCACTAACTGTGTATCAGAACAATGAGAATGAGAAAAATGCATTTGGAGTTGTTACAGGAAGGCATGAGCAGATCCCAGGATGCAATACAGTCTAATTTACATTAACTAATGAAGCGAGGCTGTAAAAATACATACATTCTACATACTATGCATGATTTATGTTAAGTTCCAAAACCCTACAGGCTGAATCCAAGGATCTTGTCATAATGAGGATTCACACGGTGAAGTATTTAGCACAAGTCATCTCCATATTCTGATCACAGGATTGGAGGAGGAATAGTTGGTGGTGGAGATGGCATACGTGCATGGACTCTTTTCACATCAATAGATTGATACAGCGCACATGCCCACTCACTCCTATTAAAGCAAAGTGCCATGGGTACTGGCTGTGCTGAGGCTGACTACTCCTCTGATGAGGAAGAGGCATGGAGCAACCCAGCCTCCTCTGGAGTCAGCCCAGAAGAGGAACCTTTAACAGCACCTGAGGGAGGTGCAGCCAGAGGGAGAGACTGATCCAGAGCCTGGCCCAGCACCCCCAGGTGGAGACACCCCGAGGCCAGGATCCCCACCTAGTTCTCCTGAGCATCCCAGACGCAGGGCATGCCAGCGGCTGAATGTGCAAGAGCGAAGGAAGAGTGCCAGACTGCCACTCTTGCAAAGGCAACGTGAGGGGCTGTGAGTCTTGGCAGACTGACTCCCAGGGAAGGGAGGACCTGGTCATAAACACCCCCACACACCTGCCTCAGCGCGGAAGCAACTGTGCATGCTCGGACCTGATCCTGGCTGTTAGTCTTGGCTCCTTACTCCTAGCTCCTGCAACCTTTGACTAATTTCCTGGCTTTCTGACCTTCGGCTCTGTTGCTCGACTTGATTTCAGACTCTGTATCCAGTTTCCAGTGCATGGTATCTGTGGTGACTGGCTGACCCAGCAAACAAACATGCAGAACATATAAAGAATGCACTTGCAGAGCCCAATCCTACAATTTTGGTTGAAAGCTTTGGAGGCAGATGATTCCTTTTACACTTCCCAGGATTCAGACATAATTTTTGTTGACTCCAGTTTCTCCACCAGCTCAGTGTCTCCCAAGAAATTGCCCTCTGCGGCTGAAAGACGAAATAGCAGATCATCCTCCAGGTGCTTCAGCTGAATCTTGAATTCATTCTGTTGCTTTGTCAAAAGAGACTGGAAAACATAATGGAAATGTTTCAGTTGAAACATGGATTATCAATAGGAAGTGAATAAAGAACTGTTCAGACACAACGTTTTTGTAGCACCTGTCAAACCAACTGTCCACTTTGATTCCAGAACTACCTGAGGCTTCCCAGAAAACTGCTACTGCCCTCTCATCGAATTGTCCAAATTAACAAAACAACAAATCAATACTGTCCGCCATACAGTATCCTGCTCATCATAGGCCATGACTACTTCAATCACCCTCAGACAACACACTTGGCTGCATTCTACCACCCTGCAACCTGATATAAAATCGAAGGTGGAAGATCTACCCTTTGATGGGGAAGGCTTGTTCCATGCCTCCACGGATGAGACTCTCACCAATGTAGATAACAGCTGTAAGAGAGCTCACAGTTTGGGGGTACCACAATCCTCCCAACCACGGGCTCCCCAATTCAAGACTCGGAAGCCCAGCAACCCCATATGATATTCATTAATTTGTTGGCAGTGTTGCTCATCACTGAACCACAAGAATAGTAAGTAGCTGTGGTGGTCTTCTCTGACGAAGAAGAAACAAAACATCTGCTGGATGTCTGCCATGACAGCTACAACTTCCTTCCTGAAGTAGACAAGCACACCAAATAGGCTGTTGGCCAGGTCCGGCTGCTTGAGGAGGATCTTGGAACTGCACGCTGGAGTTGAAGACCACTAGGATCTGACCTGGCTTTTGTGGACGGTATATTCCAAAGAATGGGAGATACCAACATTCCTCGCCTTCTTTCAGCAGAGGCATGGGTTCTGCGGGCTTGTTCTAAGTATTCTGTCCATGAATTCCACAAGATGAATCTTCATCTCGGGCTTCTTTTCTAGAGTCCTGTGCAAGGTATCGAGACTGGGCCTGTTTGTGGCAAAGACGCTTGTCTGCTCTGGCATCTGCATGCGGCCTACGCACACGTTACCTATGACGACACATCCTAGCTCTAACCTCTGGTCCTGCGGGGTGCCAGGAGGTCCTCTAAACAGTTTGTGGCCTGCCAGCAGATCAGAAATGCCTGTTCCCAACAAAAGGAAGATTTCTGTGTCAAGATCCAGGACAGTTGGCTTGCGATGGGTCTTAAATGAGGACGGTAGAGTGCAACGTCTGGCATGGGAATCTGGTTGCGGTCATCTGGTAAGGCACTGAGTTCCAACAGTGATGGCAGAGAGAAAAAGGCTCCGCCGAGTGATTGAATCTGGAACCTGACAGCTCTCCTCTCCACCATGCGCTGGACTCCCCAGCAGTATAGTTGTCACTGCGGTGACAGAGGACTGATGAGGTGAGGTCAGGCCTCTGCCCATCATTTTAACCAGGCCATGCAGGCTGCTAAAGAGTGGGTTGCCTCTACTGGAGCTGAGAAGGAATTTTTCCCTGCGACCCCACCCAGAGTGGCCTGGTGGACGCAGGTTTCTTGCTCTCTCTGCACTGCCTTCATTTGTCAGCTGCTCCGTCTTGGATGGCAACTAACACAATGAGTTAAAATGTGGGAAATTAAATCAAATCTAAACATCATCTAATAAAATCTCACAATTTAACTATATCACATTGGTCGTGTGTCTTTCTTTACCTCCTACAATTGTCAGTTCTGTAATGTGCTGAGGATTCTATCTTTTGTTGAGACAGACCCCCTAAAATGAAGCATCTCATGAGGAAAAACTGGAAATTAGCCACTCTGGGTCCTCTTTGGGGAGAAAAGTGGGTATCGGTCAATCAATCAATATGCGTTTTAAAAAGCCTACCGTCTTGTAGGCAAATGACAAATATTACTACTATACCAAAGATGCAATTGATGCTAAGCAGCATAAAAATCAGTAGAAAACCTTAAAAAGTCAATATTCCTCCTTTGTAAAGCTTCACTTTCTTTTTCAGATTTTGAACAGCTGGCCCTGGAGGTTCCAATAGCCCAAGATGACCTTGTGCCAGAAGCCAGCATGATAGAGTCACAGGTATGTTGAAAAATCCTTTCTGGTTCATATGAAGTAGTCTTATGAAGAGCTCAACCATTGGTCCATCCAGCTTAGAATTGGCTGTTCACACCAACAGTCTCCATGGTCTCAGGCAGAACAGGAACTTTGCCAGCTCTACAAGGCAGGCACTTGGCCTTTGAGCTATGGGAGCCCCATTATCATGTGAATATTAAATTGGAAAGGATTACAAAGATATGTACACAAATGTTTCTGCATACGCACAGGCTGACTCATGCAAGTCTAGGCTGCAGCATGTCAAGGCCAGAGAACATGCTGTAGTGATACTGGTGGAACAAATGTTCAATTAACCCAAGCAAATTAGGCAGTCTTTTTAAAGTTTTCCCTTGCACTGTGTGAATTAAATGGAGCTCAATTTCAGCTAACTGTGGCATGTGGAAGTCCTTTTGTGCAAACTTTATTTGAATGAATGGGAGCTGAGCAAGAACTTCCCAGAGGGCAGCAGTCTCTTTTGCCTTTTATACAGGGGCACAGCTAATACCAGATATACATGTTTCTAAAAAAATGAATACTATGGTAAAGACACCTGTAAAACAGCTTTGTTTGTAGTCAGGGTGAGTGCTTATGCCTGTATTTCACCCACTGAAACAGCCTGGGGTTTTTTTGCGGTTCTGTAGGAACCGATTAACACGACAGAATGTTCTCACTCAAATGTACTGCAGCCTGCTACTCCCTGCTGGGGAGGGAAGTAAATGAGATGGAATGGGATTACCTTTGAACAGGCCCTCCGGAAAGAAGCAAGCAGCTCCTGAAGGCTCTTTTTAAAGCCCGCCTTCACATTGTCTTGCAAATCAAATGCTAGATCAGGTGGCCTGCTCTTTTGCAGAACATTTTAAGACAGCATATGTTGGTTAATATGAGCACATATGCTCACACGTCACTGTATCAAGAACAAAAACATCCGTCAGTACTGTAAAGCAGTTGGAAAAGCAGGGATTAGAAGGGAGGAGATATGGTGCTAAGCAATGGATACGCAGAGCCAGCTTTTATTTATTTGCAACATTTATCATCCCACCTTTCAGCCCAAACAGGGCCACCTGTGGTGGGATACAAACTCCCAAAAGCCAGTGTTGTGTAGTGGTGAGAATGTAGGACTAGGATCTGGGAGACCCAGGTTTAAATCCACACTCTGCCATAGAGGAAAGTTTGCTGGGTGACCTTGAGCCAGTCACACACTCTGTCTAACCTACTTTGCAAGGTTGTCACGAGGATAAAATGGAAGAAAGGAGAATGATGTAAGCTGCTGTGAGTCCCCACTGGGGAGAAAGGAGAGGTGTAAATGAAGTAAATAAAATTTAAATTGTTTTGTTGCATTGGGGAGAAAAACAGGGTTTGTTCCAAGAATTTGAATGTATACATGTATGTTTGCGGGCAGTGCATTTCACCCTATGGCTTAGCCCTAGCACAGCCCTGAGCCAGCAGGTTTAGTTTAATATAGGTTATATAGTTACAGGGTTAAATTACTAAAATGTGTGCTTGTAATGTAAGAGCCAGTTTGGTGTAGTGGTTAAGTGCGTGGACTCTAGTCTGGGAGAAGCGGGTTTGATTCCCCACTCCTCCACCTGCACCTGGCTGGATGACCTTGGGCAAGCCGTAGTTCTGATAAGAGTGATCTTTGAAAAAGAGCAGTTTCTGTCAAGAGCTCTCTCAGCCCCACCTACCTCACAGGGTGTCTGTTGTGGGGAGGGGAAGGGAAAGGAGTTTGTAAGCCGCTCTGAGACACCTTTGGGTAGTGAAGGGCAGGGTATAAATCCAATCTCTTCTTCTAATGTGGAAGGTGCATGTGATTTGTAACAAACTGTATGTATGCTGAAAGGTACATGTATGTTTTCTTGGCAGTGAAGGTATTTTCAAACTGCCCCCAGCCACATTTTAAAAATATTGCCTCTCTCCTTGTCGTCAGCAAAAAGAGGTATAACATTGTTTCCTGTTGCTCTCCCTCCAGATGCTGTCTTCAGCCTTGCAGGTGCAGGGACGGGAGGAGCGCTCCCCAAGGAGATGCGTCCGCTTGCAGGAATCCTGCCTTGGCCACAAACTCCCTTGCTGTGATCCGTGCGCCACTTGCTACTGCCGCTTTTTCAATGCCAATTGCTTTTGCAAAAAATTCAGCAGCACTTTTCCATGTGGCAAGAACTAGCCTGAATTCTGAAGGGTTTTCTCTCGTCCTTGTGTGCGAGCTGGGCTTTCTGATGCTCCTTCTACTGTTCTAATACATAGTCTAAGTAAAGGAGTTACAAAAGTCTAAGTGTTTGTTTTCAAAGCAAAATCAGACAGATCTACAACCTTCTTTTATAAGTTCTCCAAAAGGTGCCCTCCCCAAGCAAATTTAGTTCCTTAAGCCTGTGAAAGGAAATATTTACTTAAGAGCTCAGGGTTGGTTACATAGAGCATATTCAATCTGGAATAGAGAGTAGTAAATTACTTCAAAGACGTGTTGTAATCTAGAAGCCCACTGCCAGGTCTACTGCTCATGGAAAACAACTTGGATCTCTGATGGTTCTGGAGCAGCTATAAAACAGGGAAGGAAAAATCACAAAGACAGCAAGGGCTGTCAGTCTGAACAAAGGAGCAAAGGACATCAAATATCCTCACACTGGGGGAAGGATTCCAGTGGCAGGAAGTTCATTCCTAGTGAGTGGGCATGCACTACCAACTTTGAAAAGGGAGGAAAGGATGGAGATGCAGTACTCAACCCATGGGGCTGCCCGCTCCTTACTAAAATGGAGACACTGCTATGGAACATACAAGATAGGAAGAGTTATACCCATTGGGAGTGTTGAATTCATCCCCACAGTCCATTCCAACAGCTCCCTCTTGTGTGCAACTATTAGCAGTACAGGTACCATTGTCCTTTACAATTGAGCACACAAGATTTACATTCTAGACAGAAGCAAGAAGCCAACATGCAAGACTTCTGTTGAGCCAACTCAGAATTGCAGTGTCTGAAGGCATCTCTTATATTTTAAACCCCGTGTTAGACTGCCTTCCAAAGCAGCTTATAGCAATTAAAAAACAGATTGCAAAAAGCCCTGAAGTACTATACCATATCTTAGAAACAATTCAAACCACCACAATGATTATGTAAAAATCTAGCTCCAGAAACAACTTCAGGCAGCACATTGACTGCAATGTCTGAGGCATAATGTTCTGTGGGACTATAATATTTCAGAATACAAAGAGAGCCAATGGAGGGGAGTGACTGGGGATGTGTAAAACAGGTTTGAATACTACAAAGCTTACTAGGTGACCTCTCCCTAGTCTGCCTCCCAGGGTTATTGCAAGGATAACATGGAGGAGGGAAGAGCCTGTGCTCCTGGGAGAAAGGGTGGGATAACATTAGAATGAATAAACAAATGTAAAGTGACTCCAAACAATCTGACTGGGAAGTTGAGGGTGCGGGCCACAACTCAGCAAACTCCAGGCTGCTGAATTAAAGAGGTGCTGTTTTCCTGTTAAAATGAAAAATGATGGAATTTTTAAAATATCAGCTTTGTTGGAAATATACCCATTAATGAAAAAATGAGTTCACTATGTTTCTTCAAATACACACTTTGTGGATATTTTGACACCTGGAATAACTGTCAGTGACCCAAATAATAGCCTTGGGCGGGCATTTCATACTACTGTAGAGGCTATTTTCTGGAGGACTGGAAGTTAGCCAGAACTTAGCTGGGGTCACGGCTTGGGTTGGGAAAGCTCTTTCTTCCTCCATACCTAAATCTTATACTGGCTGAAGCCAAACCACTGTTATCAGAGTGAGTATTTAACATGCACAGATGCAGAACCCATTAAAGAAACAGACCAGTTGATTTTGGAACTAACACTGCTGGAGGGAGAAGGTGAATACTTACCTAACTGCATGACTGACAGAAAAGGACAGAAGAAACAGAGAAGAAGCAGGGAGCAAGCTGAAGAATTCCATTCTGGGGACAAAAAAGGAAATAACAGAAGAAAAGAAGCCAGCATCCACACCCCTACTTAACTAGCTTTCCCATATGCTGTCCCCTATAGGAGCTTCTTTTTCAGTGGCTGGAAACATTATCTCGCTCCATTTGATATTCAGCTCTATGGAAGTCACACCAAGTCCCTCTTGCTGATGGTCTATCATTATTAGATATAATGGTTAATCCCTTTTGAGTTAAGTAACTCACTGGAAATAAGGCTCTCCTGCAGCTCTGGCATGTAACTCCCATCCTCACCAAGGAGTTCCCCATCCACAGTACACCATACCTGAGCTGCTTCTGTAGGTGGCCCATCTTTTAAAAAAGTTTCTCCTTTTTTTTGTAATTAAAAACTTTGAAAAAACTTTTGTCATTACTCATATAAGCAGGTGCTCCCAAATCAATGCACCATTGATTAGCTACTTATCCCAGCATCAATTTAAAAACTAAATTATCTTTAGGTGACCAAGGGCTCTACACAGATAATGTCACTTCATTCTTTCGATACAGTTTCTCCTGCAAGTCCCACAATTCATTTAATATATGTAATTTATTCCACATATCTGCAGCTGTCTCTAGCCTCACAATGTTGATTAGCTGTTTATTATAAACAGAAAACACGATTGCTGCTTTTGCCTTTTCGTTCTTTTTGTCCCGTGTTGCTTGATCCTCTGCATTTTCTGAAGATCTCTCTGGATTTATCACCTCCCATAACTCCACCAAGGCTAGTTTAAATTCCATCCTTTTTCTCCATGCCTGACAATCCTTCCCATTTAACTTCTCCATTCCAAACCACAGATCACTGCCCCATGCAGATACCATATTTCCTTTGTTGTTTTGTTATGGCTTGTTCACAGCCAATCATTGCTTACAGCCTTGTCTATTTCTCTGCCTTCTTTTCATGCCTCTGTTTCTCAGTTTTCTTTTCACCTGTTTGCCTTGGTGTCTGGGTCCTTAATCTGCCAAGAGACCAAGTGTTTAGTATGCAGTAAAATACAGCCAATTAAAGAAAGGGGGGGGGAGCAGTTTATTTTGGAGAGAGGGGGTAAGCATTCTACCTACATATCTGGTGGAAAAACAGAACAAAGAAATGGAAACCGGCCTAAGAATTTGTCATGGGTGATGACAATCGCACCAGGCTCCCTCCTGAGTTGGCAGCACAGCTGGAGCTGCCGGCATTGCCAGAGTCAGAAGCTGGCCCCTCTGACTCCTTGGGAGTTGACAGTTTGCCACTGCCGGCACCCAAGCCTGTAACACCCGCACCTGAGCCTGCAGCAGCCAAAGAGCTACAGGTGCAACCGGGAAGCCCGCCTGATTTGCCTCTGCTAGTGGCTCAGCTGAGGGAGTAGTTCCGCAAGGACTTAGCAACCTGCCGCTGAGATGCATGTTGGTAGGGAAGGTGGGCGCCGAGCCCTGAGTATTGACAGGAGTGGTGCCACCATTAAGGGAAGCACTGCTGGAGGCCTATATAGTTCCTGCTCAGGATTGGGCACTCTGTGGAAGCAACAAGTCGCCTCCATGCTGACCTTGTGTCCACCCTTGGCTCCTGTTCTCGGACCTCGCTTCTGTTTGGATTCCCGGCTTCCTGACCTCTGGCTTCAAACAACCAGTTTCTTGGATTCGCGACTTGGCTCCTGTTCTGTCTCTTCAGGCTACAACCCCCCGACTGGACCTGACTCCTGCCTTCTGGCCCAGCCCAGCCTGTGACAGAATTGCAGTCTGGGTACAAAGAAGGAAATAACAGCAGAAGAAAAGCGATAGTACCCCCAGCCCTAACTGACTGGTTTTCCCATATGCTGTCCCCTGTAGGAGCTTCTTCTCTTACATTCTCTACATTGTGTATTCCAAAACCCACTTCTCAATTTTGAATTCACAGACAAACCAGATTCAGTTCAAAGACCTGTGTATCGAACATTCCACTTTTTAAAAAGAAACAAAAATTGCTAACTTGCAGCTTCATGTGAAACTGGCCTCAGTTCACAAAAGCAGCTATATTACCACAAGAAGCCCAGCAGGATTTCTTATGGAGTTTCAAGCCTGGTCCTTTTATTTCTGCTGCAACAGACTAAAGCTGAAATCCTAGGAATGTCATGGGAGTACGTCCCACTGAATAAAATTGGTTTACTTCCTGGAAGAACTGCTTAGACCATGACAGCTCTAGGGAACAATTTCATAGGGGAAAGCAGTTGCTATGCAAACATGGAAAAGAGCATCTCATGGTGTTTTGAACAAAGAGGAGTCTACTGACACTTTAAATATTTCATTCTGGCTGCATCAGCTTTTCTTGCTACCCCAGATTGACACAGACCCTCTTCTAGCAGAGCTGCAATGGTATCAAAGGATTCCTTGCAGCCCCCTTTCCATGCTGCCTCAGTTACTCTGTTTGCCATGTCACAAAGCTTCCTTTTCAAGCCTCCCTTTTCTAGCAGGTCCTGCTATTTCCCCAGAAGCCCTTGCCTAAAAAGCCCTTGGCTAGTAGCATGTGTATTGGGAGGGGGGGGGGAGGTTAAACAGCACAGGACTGCTCCAAATAGTGGACTACATGACAGAAGCAACCCACGCAGCCAATTATTTCCCTCCCTTTCTCCAACTCACCCAATCAACAGATTTCCTCTCCTATCTCATCCGTTTCCCCCATTAAAAAGCCCTCTCAGCTGCTGGATTCCCTCCCACTCAGCACCCCAACTTGCCTAATCACTGTTTTCTCCCCCTCAGGGATGCCAGCCTCCAGGTGGGACCTGAAGTTCCCCTGGGACTACAGCTGAACTCCATACCAGAAATCAGTCCCTCTGGGAGAAATGGCAGCTTCAGAGGATGGTCTCTAAGGCCTCATATCTCTCTCCCCTACACAAACAATGGCCTCCCCAAGTGCCACTCACCAATCTCCAGAAAGGTCACATCCCATAGTTGTCACCCCTAGGCCTTCCCCCCCCCACACACACATCTATCCCTATCTTGCACTAACACTGACACAAAGGATTCGTTTTTCGGGGGCCATAATCCCCAACTGTACCCACAAATTGCTCAGGTTAGTCTGACCTTGGAAACCAAGCAGGATCAGTCATGGTTAGTACTTGGATGGGAGACCACTGAGGAAAACTGGGATTGCTACACAGAGGCAGGCAATGGCAAACCACCTCAGAATGTGTTTTGCCTTAAAAAAACCCATGCCCCCTGGGGTCCTCGCCAGGAGACAGTTGTGACTCGATGACACACAATTACTATTATAATCCCTGAAAAGTACTGAGTTCAATACATCACAGCCAGGTGGCCAACTTTATACAATTGGGGAGGGACGCCCCTAGGTTCTATTGGTGGGTTTGAACTTCCCGCCAATGTCCCTATTGGCTCCTTACTTGCAGTTCAGGAACCTAATCCCTATTGTTTTAGGGATTGAAACTCTAGCTGCCTCTGGCTGGCACCTGGCAGTGGTCTGAGGACATAACAATCCCAACTATTTTTTCAATGTTTTATATTTTTGCGTAAATCTGAGAATTAGATACATCCTAGCTCTTGCCAACCTAGCAGTTCGAAAGCAAGAAATTGCAAGTAGATAAACAGGTACCGCTTCGGTAGGAAGGTAACAGCGTTCCGCGTGCCTTGGCGTGTAGTCATGCTGGCCACATGACCACGGAAACGTCTTCGGACAGCGCTGGTTCTTCGGCTTAGAAACGGAGATGATCACCGCAATCCTAGAGTCGGATTTGACTGGCTTTCGAGCAAGGGAACCTTTACCGTTTAGCCCCCGGGCCCCCCCCCCCCCATGTATTTGTCATCATCTGCACAACGGGGATCCCGATCACTATTTGATCTATGAACACTGGACCTGCCAGCTCTGAACTGGGAAATACCTAGAGATTTAGGGGGTGGAGCCTGGGGAGGGCGGGGTTTGGGGAGCGGAGGAAACTCAGCAGGGTGCGATGCCACAGAGTCCACCCTCCGAAGCAGCAATTTCTCCAGGGGAACTGATCTTGGTGGTCGGGAGATGAATTGTAATAGCGGGAAATCTGCAGGTACCACCTGGAGATTGCCAACCCTAAAGAAGACAACACACTTAACTGCGTCAGGAGAACTCACCGAATCATTTTCCGGCAAAATACCCGACGGAGGAAAAGAGTCAGCCTGCGGGGCCAGTTCAGGCCGGGCGGCATTCGAGCTCGAAAATTCCCTAATCAAACTAGTTTTCGGATCAACGTTCATTTTTCCCGCGTCCTGCGCGAGACATACGTCAAAAACGGTGCCCAAAACAGGATCTCCAGGCTAGGATTTGTTGTTGAATGGTGAATTTCCGGTATTTAAATTAAGACACACGCCGCCATTAGCCAACCCACTCCGTAGACAGCAATGGAGGCGGGTGTTCCCGCTCTGGTCTTTACGTTTGTTGTGGTCGCGTAAGTTAGTGACGTATACACGTCGCTTGGAGCGCGTGACGTTCAGTTGCTCATGCGCAGGATAAATTGTCCTCTCGCTCCGTTGCCGCGTCACGTGACAGGCAGGGAGCCGCTTCCGCCTCTGATCAACTGCAGCTGGTTTTCACTGCTGGTTCTCACGATGTTGACGTCTTTCCCTGAGCTGTACTTCAATGTCGACAGTGGCTACCTGGAGGGCCTGGTGCGCGGCTTCAAAGCGGGTGTGCTGAGCCAGTCCGATTACGTCAACCTGGTGCAATGCGAGAGCCTGGAAGGTAAGGGCGGTGGCGAGCCTCCCTGTCCAGGTGCAGGTCTATCTTTTTTCTTCCTTTCTCCTGGCCCAGGTGTCTCGTATGAAGCTGGTAGAAGGATGCTCTCTATGTGTTTCTTCTTCCCAGGTCTGGCTTAGCCCTTATGTAAGGGCTTGGTAGAGCGTTTCATGTGTATTCTCTACAGCGACCCTGCCAAATAGGTTATCTATTGGTCTGTCTCGTTTTCCCTGCCTTTCTCACCACACAGGACCCTAGATGGGTGGTGGCAATAGATGTTCATCTCTTAAATTAAAATGCATAACTTCAGAACCGGGAATTAAAGCAATTCTCCGTGTTGTAGGTGGGGGTGTTGAGGCTCCTGAGCAGAGGAAGCATTCTTATGAGGACTGCTGGGCTTGCTATGTCGTCTCTCTCAAGTCCTGTGGGCAGACTCTTTTCCCTGCAGCCCTGAGGCTGCCTCTTTCTGTCACCAAGGCTTGTCTCCTGTCCTGACCCTGCTTTTGAAGCCTTATGTAGAGAAGAGGTTGTTCCTGTTTCTATGTAACATTCCTCTGCAAAAGGCCTGTTTGCCCTTCTTGGTAGTTTCTTACTTTTTGTTGCTGCTGTACTCTGAGAGCACATAGGTAAGACTGACCTATGGTTTGATTTTTTTGCTCCCCTGTACTCCTGAAGATAGTAATTCAGCGTGTGCAATAGTGTAACAATATGTACTCATCAGTACTGGGGAAATTTGTGGGGAAAGTTGACAGTTCTAGAGGCCTTTTCACTTCTTGGCACTAACAGGCCACTGATATGTTCTGACACCAACAGCATTAATTGCAAATCACTGAGTCCAGATGAGTTGTCCCCTGGGTGGCCCCATCTGCTCAAAGGATTATCTTTTGGTTGGAAAGAGGGCTTTGAATG